TCTCTGCTTACAGTGAGCATATATAAAAACCCCAAAACCCCAAAACCCCAAAACCCCATGATACCATTAATGTTTTTTAATTTCTGTTTATAATAATTCTAATTCGTTGAAAAATATTATAATTTCTGCAATTTTTATATATGCTCACTGTAAGCAGAGAAAAGTTATAATTTTTTAAAAAAACTCTTGAATCATCAATGATTGGAAAGATTAACATTGCTTTTGAAAATCCCATTTTCTAAGATTTTAAACGAATACTTTCTCTTCAATATTCAAATATCAAAGTACACTTTAAATTTAATGAACCATTCAATGAATAATTGGAAGACTTGATAATGAGTATGAATTAAGTAGCTGTATATGATAATTGCCTAGTTCTGAGAGAAAGTAAATAATGCGAATAAATTGAAGGTTATATCACCCTTTAAATTGATGGTATTTACTTTTGCTAAAATATTCATGAAAATATTATCAGTGAGATAAAGTTATTTGCAGATCCTAACTCAATATCTTAAGACTTTTTTTCTTTTTATATACATCTTGATTACACGAATTCTTTAAGCTACAGTTTAAATTGAAATTGTATTATTTCCGATTCGCTTGAAAATTATTACAATGTGATCTAATTTATTAGTGAAGGTTCATAGGCAGCGGTTTATAGAGCTATTTCAACTGATATTTATGATAAATCTCAATACGCAATAAAGAAGTATGAAATTACTAGTGTATAGCAATTAGAGCTAATAAAAAGAGAAATCAAGCTCATGAGAGCATTACAAGCTTCTTCAAAGAAGAACGATCACATTTTGTGTTATTTACATTAAGTTATTCAAGATTAAAATCAAGTTTATTTGATTTTAGATTACTCACATTATGGAGATCTTAGTAAGCTTATTTAAGAAAAGAGTCCACTCTAGGAATCTGAAGTCAAGCACATCATCCTCTAGCTTTTGTTTTCACTGGCTCTAATGCATTCTAAGGAAATCATCCATAGAGATTTGAAACCGGACAACATACTGGTTATGGATCGAGATTCCCTTTAAGTTTCAATTGCTGATTTCGGATTAGCTTGCTTTAATCATGATAATACTGCAAAAAGTATAAAATGTGGTTCTCCTGGGTTTATGGCTCCAGAAATTTTGAGAGATTAGCTATTCGATCTAAATAGTGATGTTTTTAGTTTGGGATGCATAATGTATTCACTCATAACGAAAGGATGTATTTTTCCAGGAAAAACGATATAGTAAGTTATTACTTCAAACAAATATGCACATCCTTCTGATGTAATAGATCGAAAAAATATTCAGGTCTCATCAGAATGTTTAGATCTATTGAAGTAAATGCTTAGTAGAAATCAATTTACTCGCTTTTCAGCGATTCAGTGCTTATAAGTAAGTATTTTATTTATCTAATATTTTTAGCATGCTTGGTTTGAAAATCATTCGTAATATATTTCTGAGAGGCTACATTACCTCAAACTAAAAAATCCCAATAGAAAAAAGGATCCATATGCTTAGAATTCTGAACATAGAAGAATAACACTAAAATCAACTAAGATGGAATGTATGCAGTCTTGGTTAGGACCCTCTTAAGGTATTGGTAAAAAAGTTGATGGTGAGCAAAAGACTTAGAGCATCACAAATGCATAAAGAATATTGAAACTGAGAGAGCTTTGCAATGGAAAAACAAACAACAATTCATAAGTTAATTTATGCGAACCTCAGTAAATCCCCGAGCATTTAAATCAAAGTTTAAATGAAGAAATTGATGAGAATTTATTGGAAGAATAAACTCCAAGAGCAATCAATAATGGCAATAGAATTGCCAGTAAAATTACTAATCGATTGAACTTGTCCATAATTCTCCTTGAAAATAAACATTATATGAGTAATCTAAACACTCCAGTGAAGCAAAGATATTTCTAATGATTACTAGTCCTTTATATTGCAACAATTATATATAGAAATGAAATTTCATCAGTATTGAAGGCGTTTAGCTACCTTTAATACTAATGGAAACTAAGAATACTGCATAAGTATAAATATAATTAAATTAATTTAATCATTAAGCTATATATATTCATCATTATATTTTATCTCTATGGGGTTTTGGGGTTTTGGGGAGATCGGAAGAGCGT